GGGCCATGATTGGTTGACTACTCACAACCCACAAATTGACTGGAAATCAGGAGGTATTATAAACTGGAGCACTTTTTGTTTGTCTCAGTGTCTGTTGTCTGCTTCCATCCCTGTCCAGAACTCCAAAGCCAAACCCTCAGAACCTCCTGACCTGTCTGGAGTGCCTTCCGAATACCACGACCTCCAGCAGGTTTTCAGTAAGGATCGTGCCTCAGCTTTGCCACCCCACAGACCATTTGACATGCAGATTGACCTCCTTCCCGACACCACCTTACCCACCAGCAGGTTGTACAATTTGTCCAAGCCTGAACATGAATCCATGTCGCAATACATTTCAGAGTCTCTCGCCACGGGCCTCATCAGACCCTCCACATCGCCTCTGGGAGCCAAGTTTTTCTTTGTATCGAAGAAGGATGGCTCCCTACTCCCATGCATTGACTACCGCGAACTAAATAACATTACAGTCAAAAACAAATACCCACTTCCACTAATGTCATCCACCTTCGACCCGGTCAGTGACGCTTCCGTGTTTACCAGGCTAGATCTTCGCAACGCATACCACTTGGTCAGAATCAAGGAGGGAGACGAATGGAAAACAGCGTTCAAAACACCTCTCGGACATTTTGAGTACCTGGTTATGCCCGTTGGACTTACTAATGCTCCCGCCGTTTTTCAGTCCTTGGTCTATTCCGTGCTCAATGATTTCATTAACAAATTTGTTACAGTCTACCTGGATGACATTCTCATTTTCTCTAGATCCATCACCGAACACCGGCACCACGTCAGAGCGGTACTCCAGAGACTTCTGGAGAACCGTCTGTACGTCAAAGCTGAGAAATGTGAATTTCATTCCACCTCTGTCAAGTTCCTTGGTTTTGTTCTAGAGAGGGGGAAACTGAAGGCCGACCCAGACAAGGTCAACGCAGTTAAGGAGTGGCCCACGCCCACTACTAGGAAACGGCTACAACGGTTCCTGGGTTTTGCCAATTTCTACCGCCGTTTCTTCCGTAGCTACAGCTCCATTGCCGTTCTCCTAACCCAACTCACCTCCATTAACAGACCTTTCTCATGGACACCAGAGGCTGAGAGTGCTTTCCAGACCCTGAAGGATGGCTTTACCCAGGCACCCGTTCTCACCAGACCTGACCTCAATGCCCATTTCACTCTGGAAGTGGACGCTTCAGATACTGGTGCAGGTGCAGTATTGTCACAATTCTCCCCCTCTGATAAGACACTGCATCCCTGTGCTTTTTTTCTCCCGTCGCTTCTCCGCAGCTGAACAAAATTATGATGTGGGAGACCGTGAGTTACTGGCCATAAAGTTGGCTTTGGAGGAGTGGCGTCATTGGCTCGAGGGGCAGAGCATCCCATCATCATATGGACTGATCATAAGAACTTGGCGTATCTAAAGGAGGCCAAGAGACTCAATCCTCACCAGTCCCGATGGTCCCTGTTTTTCTCCCGCTTCAACTTTGTTATCTCCTTCCAACCAGGAACCAAGAACATTAAACCTGATGCTCTGTCCCGACAATACGCCTCGGACAACGAGGTTGAACCTGCCACCATCCTTCCCCCGTCTTGCGTGGTTGGCGCCATCACCTGGGACATAACCAACAAGGTGCTGGAGGCCCAGCAGACTGACACAGACCCAGGTACGGTACCTCCTAACCGCACCTATGTCCCTGCCTCTGTTCGCAGCTCACTGATTAAATGGGCTCATGCCTCCAAGTTCTCCATCCACCCAGGCGTAGGAAGGACGCTAGCCCTCATACAGAGGACGTTCTGGTGGCCATCACTCTATGTTAAGGAGTACATCAGTGCTTGTCAGGTCTGTGCCAGGAGCAAGTCAACAAATCAGCCGCCTTGTGGCCTCCTCTGTCCCCTACCGGTTCCGTCACGCCCATGGTCTCATCTGGCTTTGGACTTTGTCACAGGTTTGCCTGTCTCCCAGGGTTTCAATTCCATCCTCACCATTGTTGACCACTTTTCTAAGTCATGCCACCTGGTTCCCCTCAAACACCTTCCTACCTCTGCTGAAACTGCCAACCTGCTTATTAAGCATGTTTTTCGCCTACACGGGATCCCCTCTGAGATCCTTTCGGACCGTGGCCCACAGTTTGTCTCTCGGGTGTGGAAGGAGTTCGCCACCCATCTGGGAGCCCGGGTCGCCCTGAGTTCAGGTTTTCATCCTCAGACTAACGGCCAGTGCGAGCGGATGAACCAAGAGTTGGAGGCCATGTTAAGATGTGTCTGTTCTTCCAACCCCTCTGGATGGAGCAGCCAGCTCGCATGGATCGAATACGCCCACAACTCCCATGTTTCCTCTGCAACAGGTCAGTCACCATTTAAGATCTCCCTTGGCTACCAACCACCTCTGTTTCCCTCTGACTCTGATCCTCCAGCCACCACACCTCAGTTCATCCGCCACGCTCGGCGCACCTCGAACCAGACCCAGGCTGCCCTTCAGCGGACTGCTGACCACAACCGCCGTCTGGCTGATAGGCGTAGACGCCCTGCTCCCGCCTATGCTCCGGGTCAGCAGGTGTGGTTGTCCACCCGGGACATTAACCTCAGAAACTCCAACAAAAAGCTCTCTCCCCGGTATATTGGTCCCTACTCCATCGCTGAGGTCCTCAGTCCAGTGTCTGTCCATCTGTCTCTACCAGCGTCCATGAGGATCCACCCCGTGTTCCACGTGTCCCTGCTCAAGCCTGTTGTGTCCAGTCCCCTGTGTCCTCCTACGGATCCTCCTCCTCCGGTTCGTCTCTCTGATGGTGGTCTCGGTTACCGGGTTCGGAGGATTTTGGATGTTTGTCCCTGGGGTCGTGGTCGCCAGTACCTGGTTGACTGGGAGGGTTATGGCCCCGAGCATCGCCAATGGATCCCGGGGTCGTGGATCGACGATGTCTCCCTCATCAGGGATTTTGAGTCCTCCTCCTCCTCCTCGGCTCGGCCGCCAGGTGGCGTCCCTTGGGGGGGGGGGGGGGGGGGGGGGGGTACTGTCATGGTTCTGCTTTTTCTCTGTGGCTGTGCTCCTGAGTGTTTGCAGGTGAGCAGGTTGGAGAGCCACAGCTGCAGCTGATTATCATCCAGCCAGGCCAGAGGATATAAGGAGCGCTGTTGCCACACTTCAGTGCCGGTTGATACTCTATTGTTGGGTACTCTAGCTCTCCTCGTTCCTCTTTGACTCTAGTCTCGTGTTTTTTCTCCCGTGTGCTCAGTTTTGCTCTCCTTGTCTGTTCCAGTACCAGCCCTGGATTCTTACCCTCAGCGTCCTGCAGTCTGAAGTGGATTTATTTCCCAACGCCCCTCAACTCCTCTGGTCTCCCGCTCTCCACCTCTCACCTGTCCTGGATTACTCCTTTGCCTGCTACTCCTCTCCACCAGACCATCTCCAGCTCAGACCTGACTTGCCTCCCTCTCCAGCTCAGACCCACACTTCCTACAGTAAGACTCCACCTCCATTACTCCACAGTGTTTTCTTGGTTCTCTCACCTGACATAAAGTTCAGAGATGGTTTGATCTCCTCCAGGTCTTCTGTGGCCATTTCTTTACCTCGTCCACCGGCTCGTCCTCCTGGCATCTCTTCCTCTCACCTGCAACCGTCGTCCTCTGGTTCCGTGCTCACCGCGACGCGATGAATGTTGTTGGGCCTGGCTCAGCAGGACCCCGCCGGAGTCGGTGTTGCCCCGTCGGCGGAACTGGGCTGGGCCGATGGAACCGCGTCAGGCTCGGTGCGCTGGCTGGGCCGGCGTAACCACGCTGGGTTCGGCGCTGCCGGGCCAGGCGGATCGAACCACGCCGGGCCCGGTTCCACTGGGTCAGGCCGGTAGAACCACGTCAAGCTCGGAGCCGCTGGGCTGGGCCGGGTTCGGCGCTGCCGGGCCCGGTTTGCCAGGTCGGGCCGATGAGACAACAAAAGCACTCCCACTGTTTACAATCTCCGACTTGTTGCTTCGACTCCGACTTGTTGCTTCAACCGCCACCAGTCTCCCAGTCCCAGTTTATATCTTGCCTATCTCAGCCCCTTCCCGGGTTGAGGGAGAATGCAACGAGTCGCTATATAAAGCAGCCACAGCGCCGCTACCTGCATATAAACCGTATATTCATAAAAATATGAAAATAATTTGTTTGTTTTTTGGCAGACAGCTGACAATAGCAAGACTGTATCTTTTAGTTTATAACAATATTAAATACAATACAACTTTTGTTCTGCCAGGTCTCCCACTCAGGGGTTATTAAAGTTTAGTTCTTGGAATTTTGTGCATTAGAAAGAAGTTCTAGAAGAACAGTTCTTGAAGTAATACTTGTTTTTAATTCTGTCTGTTCAGCATCCTGCAACAATGACGGGTGGTGGTGGGGTTCATAATGTTCACGATGGTATTTTATTAGTTGTTGGTCTAACCATGAATCAGGTAATGGCTGTTATTGTTATTTTCTTTTCAGTGACTTTCCTTGTTACATATTCATTGCTGGATTTATGGAAAAACAAGAACCATATTGAATATCCATAATTACTATAATTGATATAATTAAAGAATACATATTATAACGTTGATTAGAAGTGTTTAGCAAAAACAACAGGATTTTTATGCCAATTTTGCAATTTACTCGAATACAAATACAAATACCCCCCCCCCCCCCAACGAATACAAATACAGATACAAGTACCGGCTACTTCGCACACCTCTAATATATATATATATATATATATATATATATATATATATATATATATATATATATAAACTCTGGTGTAGTAAGTAGAGACATGGGCAAGCTCTTAAATCGGGGATCCATATATGTATATATATATATGTAGGGTATTGCTACATACTGGAATCACACTGTTTGCTATCGGTGGTAGATTCTGAGAATGACCAAGCAGATTAGCATATGAAGCTTATATCATGTATAAATATCCAGGATACTTATATAATCAATTTAAGTTCATACACCAACCTGCTTGGTCTATATTTAATCCAAAGATTAATGTTTAATTTAAGATAATTAAATTTAATAGCAAAAGTTTATTTTTGAAACAGAAGTTAGGAATCATTGCTTTTTCAATAACCAGAAATAATTATACTTTTCTGTGTTTCATTTGAAAGAATGAGGCAAAGTTTAAAAATGAAGAATTTATTACTAACAATTTTAAACTTGACGATTTGAAACGACAATTTAAATGACAATTAAAAATGACAACTAAAATTGACAATTCATGGATGACAATTTACCAGCTTTGATATTAAACTTGTTTAAAAGGCAAACCTGTGACTGAATGAAAGCTAAATTGAAAATACGAGTTTGGATGTGTGGATGAATTCTCAGAAGGTTTCTTTCAGAGAGAGAAGCACGTTCTGGGTTGAAATGATGGTTTTGCAGCTAACTGTTGTTACTTAGAGAAAACAGCATCAGACACAATCTGTGTGCTACCTCACCCAGCAAGACGACCATTCGTGAGGATCCGGAGGTCAAGGGAGGATGGTGTCAGCCTCCAGGTACTGGGTCCGGTAGAGGAGACTCGAGGAACCGACTCTCTGGTCCGAAGATGTTGCCGGGTACACAGTGTCGAGCGTCTGGCTTAACTCTGATGGAGTTTCTCGTCTTAACTCTCAAAATCAATAACTCTGGCGGAGTTTTTGTGTCAGCTGGTTACAGTTACGTTTATTCGTAGCTATTCTCATCGGCGTGACAGAACAGCAGGTGGAGGTTAGGGACGGCCGTTCCCGTATCCTCAGTGATGGTGGTTGGTTCACGAACTGAAGTTTCTCTGCTGGAAAGTTAGTTTAACAAACTCCTCAGAACACGCCCTCTCAGAGCAAGAAAGCTTTGGTCATGAGTCAAAAAATCATGTGATGGCAGTTACACTGTACTCTGGATAAACTCTGTGTTAGATGGATAAGGTGGAAGTTGACCTTCTGATTTGCTGAACACCATATCCGATTATCAACCATAATCATAATTATACCCAAAGCATAATAATTCATTTCAGTAATTAAAAATACATTTATACTGAACCAAGAGATTATTTATGATAATTATAATAAACCTCAATAAAGTCAAAGAGTTTATTAAAATTATTTAAATTATTATCGTGAAACTTGAAGTGTCCTTCTTCTGAGACGGAACAGCAGCAGATAAAGGATGATATTCTTCAGACATCAGGGCTCCTGGGTTAATATGTGGAACTAAAAGTCACAGTCTGTGCCAGCTTGACCCAGCTGGGAAAATCTGACCTTCGTCACAAATTAAAGGACCTTCATGACGATATATATATATATATATATATATATATATATATATATATAGGAACTGCCATCAACGTATACAGTTGGCAAGTCCACACAGAGAGCCTGGTCGAAGTAGTGGTGGTTGGGGTTCAGCAAAGACTGGGGAGGGTTAGCCAGTAGAACCGATGCGACAGCGTCGTCCGAGCAATGCTGGCACGCAGCCAGACCCATGCCAAGAGGACTACGGCGATTCTGTGCGTAGTGTACTTCAATGTCAAAGCTCTGAAGAGCAAGCAGCCATGACGCAATGCGTGCGTTGGTCACCACACCATCTCTGATGCTTTGACTGTTAATAAAGGTCACTGGCTGATGTTGAGTTTCAATGATGATTTTCTGTCCACTGATGTAGCTGGAAAAGTGTTTAACTGCGTTGGACATCAGACAGGCACAACGCAACTAGCCAAAGATACTTTGTCAGTCCTGAAAACTGAAACAAAGTATGTTTCGGATCGTAGACTGGTGGAGGTGCGGCTGTTCGAGGGGTCGGCGCAGGTGAGCGCTCTGGAGAGCCCTCGGTCGACGCACAGGTGCGGTCAGAGAGATCAGGGTCAGCCAGTAGTGGTACAGGGTGACAGCACTGCACTCACAGATGTACATGGGGTGCGTCAAAGTCAGAGGACCGATCGTGAAGTGGAGCAGAGACCTGGAAGACAAGATCATGGTAGAAGGAGAGAAAACGCGGACAGTTACTGCACAAGGATTCAGTTCTGGAGGTCGTATGCCTCCTCCTGCACCCAGGCAGATGCGTTTGAAAACAGACTTGCACATGAGTGTGTAGTCTGAGCCAGTATCCAGAAGAGTGTTGCAGGGGTGCACCTGTTGCAATATCACAGCTACCATTGGCTTATCAGCTCTCCCCTGAGGCAGGAGGTGTCCCAAGATCAGTTTGTCAGGCTCGACACCCAGGAGCGCCGGGCCACTGTCCATGGCGGATGAATTCATCATCAGTGTGGATGGAGCAGGATCAGATATTTGGTCTGTTTCCTGTAGGTCAGAGTCAATCTGTTCATCTGGTTGCAGCGTTTCCTCCATATCTGGAGGAAGATCAGCAGAAGAAAGGGTTAAAACCTTTTCAAAACAGGAAGCATTCTAAATAGTCTGGACTCTTTCATCCAGATTTTGTAATTCCTGTTTTACATTGGAGAACTGCTGTTGAATGTCCCCTTTCATTTCAGTTAGAGAATCCATCAAAAGTTTATCCCTGTCTGTGGCCACAAAACAGTAATTTTGTGATAAAATCAGTGGAAAACTGATTTAATAAGCTTTTGCTGAAGATGCCGGATTAAAACACGCCAGTAGATGGCGGTACCGGATTGATTGAGCTCTGGGCAAATGCGGGAGGGGTAGTGTGCGTCACTCCGTGACGTCACTCCATTACGCAAAGTGCCGCCGCCCAAAATGGCGGACGGGCCCGTTGAGATCTCTTTCTCACATAAAAGTCAAAATATATGCTCAAAACCACTGAAACATGCGGGGTGCGAGTTATGACAAAGGCAAACGCCGCCAAGAACTATTGACAGCTCCGCTGGATCTGCGTGTCCGGTGGCATTGTCAGCCCTGCTAATTTAGCTTGCTAAGGCTTAGACCGTCTATTTGTGAAGCGTGTCTCTTGGCATGATTCACAAGGTAGAATCAGCCCTTCGACTGGTGGAATACCGCTCAGGTTCTCGCTCTAATTATGTCGGTAAAAGCGTGTAATTTTGCGGCATGCACTCGCTACGCTCTTCCGTTTTTGGGACCAAGACCGGGTGTAAACGGGGGGGGGGGGGGGGGGGGGGGTCCCACGGGTAGCAGTACTGATTTTCGGGCTGATTCATTCTAGCCTCAGGCGTCCCTGGTGTAATTCTGATTGAAAACAGAAGTAATATCCGGTATTTTTTTCGGAAAAATGACTGTCATGCAGCGTTAGTGTGCTTGTAATCCCGGTTGATCAGATCGTATTAGCGAGCAGCTAAATGCTAAGTGGGGATCAGGTTCCTGGCCCAGCTAACACAAGTTTACAACAGTGACAAAACTGCACGAACAATGTAGCAAAATCACTCAAGACGTGATAACTCACACCCATAAATGTATTTATCTTAAAATATAAAAAAAATGTTAATTACCTGCAGTTTAGCTCAAATGGAGCTTTCAAATAGAGAGGCACACAGACTTTGAATGACAAGGGAGAGCAGTGCCCCTTGGTGGCGAATAACGAGATCGCCCTCGTTTCTCACCCAAACACAGAAAATAGATTTTTGATATTAATTAATGATTCAAAAACCATCACGAAGTGTACGATTTTAATAAATCTGGCTGGTAATCGCCATTATGTAATGTTAAATAAATAGTAGGGATGAGCCGGATACTCGTCGTTTCAGACGAGTATCCGTACGGATAAAGCATTTTTGACTCTCTGTGCTTGCTTCACTGTTCACGTTTCTTCAGTGCTCCCTAGGTTTTCTTCAGTTTGCTTCTTTTTAAGTTACTTTAAAGATATTTAAAGTTACTTTTTCCGTAACGTACGTGGTGCATTTGACAAGACAGAGCTGAAAACGGCTCGTGCTGCGTCAGTCACTGCCTCCACTCCGGTCGGGTTTTTCCCCTCTCTCTCTCTCTCTTCTTCCTCAGGATCCACTCCCTCGTTCCTATTCACTCTCTCTCTTTCTTTACATTTTTAAACTACAATTGTCTATTTTTTGCTCATTTTAAATATATTTTAATAATTTTCTAATTTCTTTTTTCTATTTTACATGTTTTGTTTTTGTGAAGCGCCCCGTGATGTTGAGGTGCTATAGAAAAGATCTTTTCTTCTCACTCTCTCTGAATTCATGCACTTAAATATTAATGTTCTGATTTTATTGAAAAACTTGTTCTGTAATAGTTCCTTTACTATTGTGATCAAAACATTTAATCTCAATTCTGAGGCTGCTCTGTAAACAGTTTTCTAATAAACAATACACCTAGCAACTTCTGATCAGACTTAAAACAACGTATTGATGTAAACCACAAGGAGAAGGCTAGTTTGTGTTGGTCAGATTTATGGACAGGAATTGTCCAGAATCCAGACGCAATGTCAAGGATGGAGAAGTATTTAGCGTCTTTCACTTTTGGGAGTTCTTGATCCAGGTGCGCCATCGGCCACCTAGACAAGGGAACCTGTTTTTTGAGTTGCCTGTAGTCAATGGATAGTTGCCACTTACCGTTAGGCTTCTTTACTGACCACAATTGAGCAGAGTAGGTGCTGTTGCAGGGTCGGATGATCCCTTTAGCCAAGAGGCTTGAAATGATTTCCTGGACTGGTCTGTGGGACACCAGGGGAGTCTTGTACTGATGCACAAAATTCGGCGCAGCGTGTGGCAGTGTAGGAATCCTGACTTCATGGATAGTGGTTAGACCACAGTCCAAGGAGTCGAGTGAAAGAAAATCTTTGTGTTTTAGCAAAAGTTGTCGTAGTTTGTCTCGCTCGACATCGTTGGTAAGAGCATCTGCTTGGTCCACGACCTGTTCAATCTGAGAGAAAACATCAGAGGGAATCTCTGATGGCTTTGAGCTCGGCAGTGAGCATGCGGTTTCCCCATGCTCAGGGTCACCCACCGCAAGGCAGCGTGAGTCTGGGAAAGAAGGTGGAGTGAGGTTTTCTAACACCTGCCCTCAGTTCCCCTTCTCCAACATCGATAAAAGCTTCAAAGCACTTCAAAAGATTGACGCCAGTGAGCAGAGGCATGGCTCCACTCTCACAGATGTACACGGGGTTGTCAAGCTCATAGGACCGATCATGAATTGGAGCAGAGTCTTGGAAGACAAGAGCACTGTAGAGGGAGAGAAGACACGGATAGTTAATGCACAAGAGATCAGTTCTGGAGAGCGTACGCCTCCACCTACATCCAGGCAGACGCGGTCGAAAAGAGACTTGCTCATGATTGGAAAATCTGAACCAGTATCTAAAAGTGTGTTGCAGGGATGCCCCTGTTGCAAAATGACAGATTCTGTGGGCTTACCACCCCTCCCCTGTGGCAGGAGAGGTCCCAACAGTAGTTCGTCAGGCTCAACACCAGGGGCGCTGGGCCACTGTCCATGGAGGTTGCACTTATCATCAGTGTGGATGGAGCGATATGGGACATTTTGAGTGTTTCCTGTAGTTCAGAGCCAATTAGTACATCCGGTTGCAGCTCTTCCGTCTTATCTGGAGGCAAATCAGCAGAGCACAGGGTTAGAGCTCCTCCTACATGGGAGGTATCTCCAATAGCTTGGACTTTTGTGACTTCCTGTTGCAGATTGAAAAGCTGCATTTGTATGTTTTCATTTCAGAAAGCTGCATATGCAGTTGGGTCTGCGTTTCATTTTTCCACTGGAAAAATTGCATCTGCATTTGTGAAATATGCATTTGCATTTCATTTTTCATCTGGAAAATGAGAGAAGTCAAATGATTATTTTGGTCTGAAGCCATTGTGCTGATGTAACAGATCCTTTAATTTGTTATAAAATTAATGGAAGCTGAATCAGAAACCCTTGCTTAACTGGATGGTTGAAAATGAGCTTTGTTACAGGAGAAATTGCAGTGTTTTGAATGAAGATTCAGGACAGAACAGTTTCTGTAATGACCCAGAGATGTCACTTGGCGGACCTTACCAAGGTGGCTGTCCGAAAGGTTGCGTGAGCTTACCCAGGCAAGATGGCGGCACATGTGCGCATGCGCCTTACCTCCAACTGGCGGTTAGCACAAATGGCTAACCAAAAGTACATTTCTCACACCAAAAGTGTTAAAAACGCAGCGAAATCAACTCGGCCGAAGTGGAGCTTTTATCCGTCGGGAACTAATGGATTTGTGACACAGATTCGCTGTGTCAGTCGATTTTCAGCTGGCGGGTAGCTACTCCCGTTTGCCGAAATTGAGAGCTAAGCGTTAACAGCTGGGCATGCTAAGCTAGCGGGGCCTGTTAGCTAAACAGGACATTGCGGTCTAATTCTGTCGTAGAACTGACCAGTCCTAATAACCCAACGTCCGTGACTCGTTTGCGTTAACATTTCGGACAAGTAGCATATGCAGTTCGTGCTACAGCAACGCTCTACTGTTTTAAAAGACTGTCGCAATTCAATGCTAGTCAAGTGACTACCAGCCAATCAATTCCGGTAATCGGGAAGCGAACTTCCGGTAGAGAAATTATTTTATCTCCGTTACACAAGAATAGTACACAGTGTCACAAAACACTCAGAAAAGACATAAAAATACAGTATTCACCTTAAAGAAGCAGGAAAAATCCTTTCAGATAGCAGTGTCTATGAAACAAAAATGGCTGAGAACTGACACGTCAGCCTTAAATGATTTAAGATGAATCAGCGCCTGCTGCCGGGGGATGACCAGCGTCACGCCTTTCTTAGACTTTCATGGGAAGGTCTACTGCACTCTAGAGGTGGATTACGAGATTGTCCCATTTTCAACCAGAAACATCAAGTTTTATACATTTGTGTGTTCAGCTGTTTAAAAATGTCTCAGAATGAGCACGAAGTGTCAAAAATGTACAAATATCTGGCAAAATGGCTCGTCATTATGTAAGGATTTTATTTACATCTATTTAATTAACCATAAGACATGAGATTCCATAGTGAATATGAAATCAATCTTATGGATCTTTGGGTACTTTTAACCAGAGGATTGGAACATTTTATTGCATGGATTATGTAACACTTTGTATTAACTGAGAGACAAGAGAAGAGACATGAATGGCCTCATTTGTGACCCAAAGATCACACTTCCCCAGCTAGGTCGAGCTGTACTTTGTCCCACAGATTATCCATCACAGGAGACATACAGTCTGCTGAAAACCATCTTTAATCTGACTGCCTTTTATCTGTCTGCTGTTCCTCCGCAACATGAAGGACACTTCAAGATTTGAAATCATCATTTTTAATAAACTCTTTTTACTGCTTATTACAAGGTTCATAAATAATCATCATGGTTCATTATAAATGTATTTAATTACTGAAATGACTAATTACTCTTTGGTTAGTAATAATTATTATTTATGATAATCAGTAATGTTTAACAGTGTGAAGGTAATTTGCAATTGTACACACCATGCAGAGGGGACAGAGCAGGGTAAAGGACTTGCTCTCACATGTCTTTGCTCCATAACCAAAGCTTTCTATCTCTGAGAGGGCGTGTTCTGAGGTTTTGTTAAAACCAAAAACTCCTCAGCTCAAGTCCAGTTCTGAACCAACCAAAAGCTCTCGGTGGCACGAGAGTCCATGAGGATAAGGGTCGGCCACCCGAAGCCTCACTAAGCTGTTCTGTCATGCCGATAGAATCACTCAGAATAAACGCCGCCTGTAACCAGCTGACGCAAAACTCCTTCAGAGTTATTGATTTTGAGACGCATATAGTTTCATCAGTCGTTGTGACCCGGAGACATCTCAGGACCGATTTGGTCGCACCAAGGTCCTTCTACCAACCTCGTGCTCGGTCATCAGCTCCACCTGACATCTCGGATCCAACAGAGGGTCTCCTGACTGGGTGAGGTAGACACTTCTGACAGATGGCGTCTGTATGCTGTTTATCTATAAGAAACAACTTAGTTAGCTGCAAAACAACTTTTCCACCCAAAACGCGTTTCTCTCTCTGAAATAAATCGTCTGAGATCCATCCACGCATCCAACACACGCATCCACTTTAGCTTCCATTCAGACACAGGTTTGCTTTTAATACCAAGTTTTAATATCATAGTCATTTATAAATTGTCATTTATAAATCATCATCTTTAAATTTTTAGTAATAAATTCTTTAAACCTGACTCTTCTGAAATGAAATGAAACACAGAGTGGTGTATATTTGGTTATTGAGTAAGCAAAGATTCCATTAAGTCTTCTGTTTAATAAATACATTTTTGCTATTAATTAAATTTCTTAAATTAAATAGTAATCTTTGGATTAAATACAGACCAAGCAGGTTGGTGTATGAACTTCTATCGATTATATAAATATCCTGGATATTTATGCATGATATAGCTTCATATGCTAATTTGTCTGATCTTTCTCAGAATCTAACAAAGCTGATGGAAGTTCTCGTCTTAACTTAACTCAGAAATCAATGACTCTGGGTAGAGTTTTCGTTAGCTGGTTACAGTTTCGTTTATTCTTAGCTATTCTTGTCGGCGTGACAGAACAGCAGGAGAGGTTAGGGACGGCCGTTCCCTTCCTCTGTGATGTTGGTTCAAGAACTGAACTGAAGCTGGTGACGGTTACAGTTTACAAAGCTCTCAGGACACTCCCACTCTCTCAGCAAGAAAGCCTGGTCATGCGTCAAGAACATGTGTTGCAGTTAACGTTTATCTGGACTCTGGGTTAGACGGGTAAGGTGAAACTGTCCTTTGCTGAACACATCTTTTACTGTCATCAACCATAATCATCTTAATCATTATTATACCCAAAGCATAAATTCATTTCATGTAGTTTAAATACCTTTATGTTGAACCAAGTGATCATTCATGATGATTTTCATAAACAGTATAAAATCAAATATATTTTAGTAATAATATTATTTAATTATTATCATCCTGAACTTGAAGTGTCCTTCTCCTGGGATGGAACAGCAGCAGACATGGATATGTTCTTCCAGACATCATGGCTCCTTGATTAATCTGTGGATTTAAAAGTACTGTTTGACCCAGCTGGGTAAATGCAGCCTTTGCCACAAATTAGAGGACCTTCCAGGATGCTACAATGATTAAAACCATAGTCCCATGTAAAGTTTCTCCATTCCACACAATTTGAACATGGACCATTGTCACTAACGACAGTGCTCGGAACACCATGCCTAGCAAAGATAGACTTTACATGGGTGATCACTTGAGAAGCAGTAGCGGTTGATAACTGCAATTTCAGGAAAGATGGAATAGCAATCAATCACCAACAGATAAACCTTACCGTCAAAATGAAATAAATCTGTTCCAACCTTTTGCCATGGTGCTAAAGGAAGATCAGAAACAATCATAGGTTCTTTCGCCTGCCTACATTGGACCTTCTGACATGTTTCACACCTAGCAATCAGGCTCTCATTATCCTTGTTGATGCCTGGCCAGCACACAGCTTCTCTGGCTTACCGTTTGCACTTTTCTATTCCAAGGTGTCCTTCATGGACTTTCTGCAGTGTCAAAGGTCGCAGCTTCTGTGGGATTACTGTTCTCTGACCCCTCAACAACAAACCGTTCGCTGCACTCAGTTCTGATCTGACATGTGAATATTGTGAACATGACCCTCTGGGCCAAACCCCTCGAATGTACCCCAGTACTGTTTGCTGAACCCATACACAACAATGAAA